CCCCGTAGCTCTCCCTTCCAGCCCCCCCTGGACAAGCGCGCCCGGACACTGAGCTCCAGCACCTGGGAGGAGCCCCCCCGGAAGGCCCCCGCCCAGAGGAGCCGGAGGGCTCGCCGGGGGAACCTCGACCCAGAGGAGGCCCCCTACGAGACAGACTACACCACGGCCGTGGAGTCCAGCGACGAGCAGGAGCCGGACGAGTGGGACAGGTGAGGGGGGGGCCCGGAGGGGAGGGGCCCGGAGCGGGGAGAGGCTGAAGCCAGACCCCCCCCTCCGCAAAAGACGCCAGGCCCGTCATCGTCACAGGCTGCGTTATAGGAGGCCCTCGAATTACGACCGTTCATTTAGTGACCATAGTTCGGCCCTGGAAAAAAAGGGGGACTTGTGACCGCTTTTCACACTTACAACCGTCGCAGCCTCCCGGGACCCTGCGATCCCCTTTGGGATCCACCTTCTGACAAGCAAAGTCAACAGGGAAGCTGGATTCACTTAATGTCACTTAACTCCACAATGGCAGTGCTTCACTTAAGAACGGTGGCAACGAAGGTCGAAAAACGGGGCAAAACTCACAAACGTCTCACGGTGACAGAAATTGTGGGTTCCGTTGTGGTCGTCAGTCGAGGACTCCCTATATAATGAAGCATTCAGAGGAATCAGCCCGGCCCCTGGTGTCCCCTGGCCTCTCCCTCCAAGGGGGGACCGGGAGGGACGGGGCGGAAGGACACAGAACGACAGGACAGGGACAGGACAGGAGGGAGCCACAACAGCCCTTATCACCAGGATGGATTTTCCCTTTTTAGTCATCAAGGGAAGCACAAACCTTCCGATCAAACGTCCTGGGGTGAGAAATTAGGGGGGGCTCAGAGTGGGAGACCCCTCCCCCCCACCCCATGTGGGTCTCCGGCCTGAGCGGCTGCCCCCAGCCAGCCCAGCCTTTGGGGCCCACAGAGCCACTTCCAGCCCCCCAGCGAAGGAAAGTGTCTCCTTAAGGGAGGGGGGGTCGTCCCCCCAAATCCCACTGAGCTGAGCAGGGACCCCGGGAAGGGCCCTAGGGAGCAGGGGCCCGGAGGGCAGCCCAGGCTGGTGGAGGATGTCCGGCTGGCACCAAAAGAGGGCAGGGAATCGGACAGCTCACAGTTTGTGGGCGATCTAAATGTTGGGGTGCCTGTTAAATCGCCCTGTGGAAGGAACCCCATTGGGGGTCTTGCTGGGGCACCTCCCACTCAAGAGCTGGCAGACCATGTCCTGCAGGGAGCCCCCCCCCTCTGTCCTGGCCCTCCCCCAGACCCCTCGACACGCAAAGGGCGTCAAGAGGGGCCCCTGCCTCCCCTCCCCTCTACTTACCCCTCCCCCTTTGCCAGCCGTAGACTAGGGGTGGGCGTGTGTCTCGGGGTGCCCCAGGGCCCCCCGACCCGTGGCTGATCTTCTCCCGCCGCCTCCACGCAGCCATTACCCGCCCATCATGTCCGACGATGCCCGCCAGAGATACAAGCAAGATTTTGACACTGACCTCAAGCGCTACAAGCGGCTCTGTGGCGAGATGGACGCCACCAACGACCAGATCAACCAGCTCAGCAGGCAGCTGGACCAGTTGCCGGAGGACACGCTCCAGTACCAGGTGGGCAGCCAGCCAAAGGGGGCCCTGGGGAGCAGGGAAAAGGGAGGGGCCCCCGCCCAAGACATCCCCTGGGGCCCCAGGCAACCCAACCTGAGGGCCAGGGTTGGTCGGCCCCGTTGCCTGCGGAATTGAGCTGCCAGGTGTGCCCGCCTTTTCCCGGGCATGGCGGGAAAGGCTGTTCTGTGGCATGGCAGCTGCCAGCTGAGTGAGGGGCCTTCGAGGGCCGTGTCTGGGGCATGCCCCCCCCAGCAGACCCTCTCCCCCAGTGGGTGCTGCAGTCCAGTTCAACAGCCCCACAGCTGCCCGAGGAGACTCTTTCCTTGCCCTGAGGTGTACTGCTCCTGAATGGGGAGGCTCCATTTTGGGGGCCCTGGCCTGTTCCTCTCCCAACTCCAGTGTTTCTCTGGCAGGGCGTGGCAGAGGAGTACAACCGCCTGAAGGAGCTGAAGCGGGTGAGTCCCCGTGTCCAGCTGCCCCCCCCCACCAGGTCCCATCAGCCCAGCCACCCTGCCTGGGTCGGGGACGATGGGAGGTCCAGCCCTGTGAGAAATGCCGAGGTTGGAAGCAGGGCTCCGAAGAGGGGACCGTTATGTGTGTGCGTGTGTGTGGGGGTCTAATTTCAATAGAAAGGCAGTGGGGGAGGGAAGAGGCACAGCTCCGTCCCCTTATCAACCTCTCCTCCCCCCGGGACCCCCGGGCCTCTTTCCTTCCCCCAACCCACCTCCAGAACTGGGACCCAGAGGGGGCAGCAGAAGGACCTTTGGAGGGATCAAGAGACACCGCCCCCATCCTCACATCTGCAAAGGAAGCCCCTTAGAGCAGGGGTCTCCAATCGCGGCCCCTTTAAGATGTGTTGACTTCAACTCCCAGAATTCCTCAGCCAGCGAAGCTGATCAATGGCTCCCAGCAAAGTTGGCTGAGGAATTCTGGGAGTTGAAGTCCACGTGTCTTAAAGGGGCCGCGGTTGGAGACCCCTGCTCTAAGGGGCTTCCTGAATCGGCTGGGGATGATGTAGGGTGTAGTCCAGCACCCTCCGGGGGGGGGGGGGCCCTTGGCCACCCCCTCTGGGGGGGGGGGCGGCCCTCTGCCCCCCCCCCCCCATGCCAGACGCCGGAGTACCAGAGCAAGAAAATGGAGACCAAATCCCTGCGGAAGAAGCTTTTCCACATCAAGAGGAGGGTGGGCGAATACGACAAGCACCGCGGCTGAGCCTGGGGAGGGGCCCCGGCACTGAGCCCCCACCCCCACTCCCTGAGGGGCCGAGGCCCGGCGTGTCCCCCGGGGCGCAGAAGGACGGACTCCAACCTGCCAAGCAAGGCCCACCTCCTTCCCTTTGGGCCTGGGGACGCTTGGCGAAGGCCAGCCGAGACTCGGGGGGTGTGTGTGCCTGTGTGCCCCCCCCCCCATTCCAAGAGACGAGGATGAGAGTCCGTGTGTGCCTCATGTTGTACATTTCCTTATTTTTACGCTCGTGCTTTTTTCTCCTGTTTTGTGCCAAAATGCTTGGAGGCGGAGAGGACGGTGGGCACCGGCCCAAATCTCTCTCCTTTTGTGGCCTCCGGAGTGGGGGGGGGGGGGGGGGGGGAGCCACACGCACAGCACTCCCCTGTCCTCCCCCCTCTTCCCTCCTTTCTTCTCCCTCCCCCTCCTCTCCCTCCCTTGTGCCAACTGGTGCCTGCTTGGCAAACGCTGCTGCCCAAGAGGCTCTGCAGCTGGAAACTTGCTCCAGCTTGGCACTGCCACCCTGGATGCCATCTCTGCTTCCTGTTGCTTCCAAAAGCCAGCCAGGGGGGTCCAGAGAGCTCTCCTGGGGAGGGAGGGAGGGGGTCCCAAGCAAAAACATCCCACCCCCTCCCCAGGGGATTTCTGCTTTTGGAGCCAAGCAGGAGCTGAGGCAGCCGCTCTTGAGACCCTCCCCAAAAGTCCCAGCCCAACAGGATCTCCGTCCATTGGGGGATATATATATATATATTGTGAAAATGGGGAGGGGGCAGACCTTTTTTTTTTTAAAATACATATAGTGAAGCTATTCCTTTAATAAACGTGGGGAAATTTCCCTTTGGATTGTCTCTTTGTTGGCAACGTGAGAAACGGGCCCCCAGAATTTCTGCGTTCTCTGCCAGGAAGCCTGGAGGATGCTGGGCATCGCTACCTCCCTGCGGGATGCCCCATGACAGCCCCTGCGCCTGCCTGCCAGCTGCTCCAGGCCCTTCGCTCCCGAGGGGCCCCCTTGGCACCCAGGAACATGGGGCAAAGCTGCCAAAGGCCCCGGGCAGCCTCTGGACTTAGCTGGGAGAACAGAGCAAGGAATAACAGGATAGCAGAATTGAAAGGGACCCTTGAAGGTCTTCTAGTCAAACCCCCCCCCTCCCCACTCAAGCAGGAGAACCCAGAAGCATTGCAGACGAAGGCCTCTCCCGCCTCTTCTTGAAAACCTCCGGCGTTTTTAAGGCCTGGGTGCCAACCTCTGGCCCGACTCCCTCTGCTGCTGGCGGGGTTGGGCCACTGAGACCCCCACAGTGGCAGGTGGTGGTGGGGAGCCCTGGGCTGATTGGGGCAGGGAGGCTCAGGGGAGAGACCAGGGCGAGAAAGGAACCACTTTGCTTTCCCTGGGCACAAGATGGCGAGGGAGCCTGGCAGCCTTTCAAGGCTTGGGTTGTAAGCCTTCCGGCCAGGCCAGGCCCCGCCTGAAGAGCCAAGCCGGCTCGGGAGCCCCAAAGGGGGCCTCTGGCACAGAAGGCCAGCGGGCAGGATCAGGCCGTGCCAGGCTGGCATGCTCCAGGAAAGGGAACCTGACTGGCACCTGGCAAGGCGAGGAGGAGGCAGCACCGGGCATGGCTGCTCTGAAGGGCGAACTCCAGAGCCCAGCCCGGAGTTCATTCTGGCTGGGGCTGCAGGGCAGGTCTGGCGATGGGCCCCACAGGGTGGGAGGCAGGGGCCCTCAGCGCCCCCCTGGACAAAAACTACAGAACCATCGTTTTTTGTAATCTATCAGCCCGGAAGGGAAAGCAGTCCCACACAGCTGCAGCAAGTGCCAAGGTCGGACTCGGGGATGGTAATGGAAGATGGGAAGGTGTGGGGCCCCCCCCACGCAGGGATGCCAGGCTGGCATCCTTCCTCCCAACTGGAGCACAAAAGCCCCCCCCCCAGCTGATGATGCAGCTGGGGAGGGACAAGGACGTCTCCTCCCCCGTCATCAAGGACCCTAAAAGGGGGAGCACAAAAACCATCTCCCGTGGAGCTGATGGGCACTGGAGTCCCACAACAGATGGGCTGGGGGGACTTCCGGTTTGCAGGGCTTTGGCAGCAGGCAGGAATCCGCGATTGTGCGCAGTTTCTGCCTGGGCTTGCCGCTGGAGTGCCCCGAGCCAGCTGGCTTCGGGGCTAAGCCACCCCGTAGAGGTGGTGAAGAGGGGGGAGATCGCCAGCAGGGTCGAGGGGAGCCGCATCTCTCCTCCTCAGCTGGCCAAACTCTCTTTCCCGAAGGCGGTAGGAGCGGTGGTCAGAAATGGCCACCTCAAAGAAGAACTCGACCGGAAAAGAATGTGCAGGAGGAAAATAAGAAGTGAGTTTTGGCTGACTGGGATAAAAAGCAACAACTAAGGTACCCTGGAATTTAAATTTTATAAAAGATAACATCGCTCCCAAAGAAGAGTCGGAAGCAGCGAAATAAAGGGAAAGTTTTTTTTTTCTTCACTCTCCTTCCTCACATTGACAACGAAGAGAGCTGAACAAGAAATCAGAAAAATCCGCTTTGGCACTAATAGGTAATTAAGCTGAAAATATAATTAAATGCCAAAGGGACAATAAAGATTTCTGGACACTAAAAAATCCTTTTTTTCTATAAGGAGCAAGGGAGAGGAAAAGAATAAGGGCAGGATTTGGAAGGAGGAGACTGCCTGGACTTCAAAAGAATCTAAAGTTAAATCTTAACAAGACTTCTAAAAGATACATTTTAACTGGAACTTTGGAACTAAATAGTAACCCCAGGAAGAGAAAGTGAAGAAAGTGTAAAAAGAAACAGCTTGTGTGTATTTGGATTGCTTGGTGACTTTGGGATTTTTGGATATTATATTTGAATGACTAAAAACAATTGGGTGGCTGTTTAAAAAGAATTCTACAATGGCATCACTTATGGATGAACTGAAAATGGAATTTAAAAAATATAAAGAAGAGACACAAGAAGGGAAGGGCTTCTTTGGCTCCATTTTTCAATTCTTAGAAATGGCGATCTGCATCTACGAGAAACAACAAGAAAAGACTGCGCAACTAGAAGATTGGGACAAAGAAGAAGCCATCTTTAATGAACAAGTAACTCTATTTGGGGAAGAAAGGGGAAAGGGGGGGGAAGAGAATGGAGAATTTAAGACTTAAAAAAACAGCCAAAAAAGGGAAAAATAATTTGAAAAGTGGATATAAAATTGGAAAGCAACAGAAAAAGGGAATACAGAAGAGGGAAATGGAGGTGGAGAGACAGGGGGGTAAAAAGGGGAGAGAGAAGAAGAAAGGGAAAAAGGAAAGGAAGAGAAGTTACAAAGGTTTGGAGCAAGATGTAAAGAAACAGGACTTATTCAGAGATAATGGGTGAAAATTTAACTGAAAAAGGGATTCTGTGAAGGTACACAAGATTGTATTGTTATATTTGTAATAGAAATAATGTTAGAAAATTGGAAACAAAGTATGATTAAAAAGTGGGATAAAATAGTCAGTGTAATTTAGTGAAACTTTTGTGAACAAAATAAATGAAATAAAATAAATGAGAGAATTGAATTAGGAAGGAACAGGAACATTTTAATTACTCAATGTTTTATAAAATATAAGTGAAGTGGGGGGGAATTAACTATGGAAAGTTTATAAGTGTTCCCATAGAAGTATGACACTTATCTGAAAAGTAATGTGTAAAACGTTAAGATTTAAATGAATATTAATATTAATGACAGAATTGAATTGGTATGGATTGTTGTTTTTATTATATTATACATTTATAATTTTTTCTTTTTTTAAAATACAGTTTGTAGTTTTAGAAAGTGCCAAGCAGAATCCGAGCGGAAGTTATGTATTATATTAAGTGTTATAATTTTAGGGGAAAGATATAAAGGCGTCATACTCCAATCAGTGATTACAGGAGAAATTTTGTTTAATGAGAAAAGATAGTAGACAGTTGAAACAGGACAGACAAAGAATATAATGTACAATGATTTGAATTGAGATGAAATAAATAAAATAAAATTAAGAAAGTTAAAAGAGGGGAGAAGCTATATAGAAAATGTAGAATAGTAATAAGATATGGAATGGAATATAAAAATGAGCATGAACTTGAATTTGTGTCTGTATGAAGAGATGTAACCCGGGATTATGCTGCTTCCAAAAAAGATGCTCTATGTTTTTATGTTTTATGTTTTGTTTGTTTGTTTTTAAAAATCAATTAAAAAAAACACAGATGGGCTGGGGGAGGCAACTGGCCTTTGAAGGTGGCCCTTATAGCCCCCGTCCCCTTCTGGTAGGGCCCACCCCCCTTCTTTCCACTGGAGAGCCCCCCCCCAAACCAGGCTAAAATAAATCACATCCAATACCCAAATATTTTTATTCCAAGCACAGAAGTGGCGCTTCCTTGATCTGGAATTTGGAGAGAGAGAGAGAGAGAGAGAGAGAGGAAAAGTTTGCATAGATTACAATCGGTACTTTAGACTTCCGAGACCTGAGATCGAGTCCTACCACTCTCGGCGACAAGAAAAGCCGGCCGTGTGGCCTCAGTTTCTTCTGTCCGCAAAACGGGTTTCATGGCGAATCTCCATCACGTGCTCTTTGAAGAGACCGTCGGATACACACACACACACACAGACACACACACAGACACACGGAGAAGGGAGAGCAGGGGGGAGCAGAAAGAAAAAAAGGGGGGGAGGAAAAAAGGCCACAAAGTGATCAAACAGATGTGAGCCGACCTGACATCCGGTGGGCACGGGGACACCAGGGCGGGGGAGGAGAGGGCGGCCACGTGTGGATGGCAGGCGCATGCAGGCCAACGTTTTGCATAGCATCTTCACAAACGTGGGAGCTGGCACAGCCTGACTCTTTTTTGGGGGGGGGGGCAGAAATTAAAATGCGGGCAGGGGTCAGGCGAGGAAGAAGAGCAGCAAGCCTCGAATCTGCAGGGCCCACTTCCCACCCGGGTTTTCTTCAGGGGGATTCGCCCATGGGGGCAACCAACCTGCCCAACAGGCCCCGTGGCCCCCGGGGGAGGGAGGGAGGGGCATCGCTGGGGAAGGCCAGGATCCAGGCCGGGGCACGTGCCAGGGCACTCCCCGCCTCTCTCGGCAACCCGCTTCCCAGGACCGTCTCTCCGTGTGGCCCTGGCTGACGGGGGGCCCAAACCCAGCACTGCAGGGGCCACAATTCTGCCGATGCCCCTGGCTGCCCCAAGACCCGAGTGCCAGGCCCGATTTGCCCCCTTCTCTTGGCTGATTCCCCTCCAGGGATGGGAGGGCAATCTGTGAGGGGGGGGCACGGGGGTCCTGGGGCCAGAAACTGCATGAGGAAAGCATGCAAGTGGGGGGGCCTGGCACGAGGGGGCCCCTCCTTTAAGAGGCCCTTTGCAGCTGCCCCCCTCCCTCCTCCCACCCGGGGGGCCTTTTCAAGCGCTCTCCACTTGCCCACCTGTGTGGGCAAAGGACCCTCGTCCCCCCACCCCCAGGGCAGAAATGAGTGGGGGGCAGTAACACGGCGGACCCTCCTGCCAGGGCCGCCCAGACAGCCAGGGAGCCACCCCTGAGCCCCTTCCAAGGTGCTGATGTGAATGCTGGGAAGAGCCAACCAGGAGGGGGAGGGGTCCAGAGCCCCCCTTGCCCCCCCCAGGCCTTCTTCCTCCTCCTCCTCCTCTGGCTGCGTATGGCACAGAGACAGCCGGCGTGGTGCAACCTGGGAGAACCAGACGAAGCCAAGGGGTCCAACCTCTGGGGGGAGGGTCTCTCTTGGCATTGGGGGTGGTCGGGCTTCGTTCTCAGCCGCAGGGGAGGGGGTCCTCTTCAGCCTGGCCCCTCCCCAAGGGGTCCCAGGCAAGCCCAAGCGCCCCTCCTCCAAAGTCTCGGTGGGGGCCGAGGGACCTCCGGGCAGCAGCCCGCGGGCAGAGCGTCCGTCCACCGGCTCACTGCCCCGTCCCGTAGGGCCAGTTGAAGGAGCTGCCGGAGAGCAGCATGTCCCGGATGAGGGTCTCGATGGGCGTCTTGCCCACCAGGCGCATGAAGAAGAGCTGCGAGATGAGCGAGGCCGGGACGGCCCGCAGGGCAGGGAGCCGCAGGAGCAGCCGGCCAAAGCGCTGCGGCTGGGAGGGGTACTGCGAGCGGACGTACTCCGTCAGCGCCACCTGCGCCTTCTCCTGGAGGCTCTCCACATGCGCCGGGTCCGAGAGGCCGCAGGCGTCTGCAGGAAAGGGGAAGGAGTCAGCCGGCAGCCGCGGGGGTCCCCACCTGCCCCAACCGCCCCCTCTGCAGGGCCCCCCCGGCCCTCGTTCGGGTCCTCCTGGTCCTTTGGCAGAAGGCGGGAGAGTCGGGGGTCCCTGGCGTTTCGGACACACTGGTGGTTTTCCTGCAGGCCTTTCATGAACCAACTAGGGAACAGCATCAGTGCTGGTAAGGAGGGGTGTTTGCTTTAGGTGGCCCCACTCCCTCCTAGCACTGATGCCGTTACCTAGCTGGGTCATGAAATGTCTGCAAGAAAACCACCAGGCTCGGAACGCACCAGGCGCCCCACTGTTGCCCCGAGCTCTAAATAGTCTCCTCCGTTGCTTGAACGCCCAACGGAGAGATTGGCCTTGATGGCATCTCGGAATCCAGCGCCCGCTTGCCTCCCGGTCGTTCCAGAGAGCTGGACCGGGTCAGGCCGGCCTTCCACACGGCTGGCACTGCTGAGAACGACACGCTCCAGTTTCCTGCCAGAGAAAAACGGCAACCCAGGCGGCTCGGCCATCGGGGCTTTTGGAGTGGCGTTGGCAGCCCAGGGGCACCAAGGCCTTGCCCACCACGGCTGCCTTCCTGGGATGGAAGAGCAAAGTGGGGTGGGGGGTTACCGGTGCCAGTCCCAAAGCGCCAGCTGCCTCTGCCAAGGAGGGTGCCCAGCGGATGGGCTGGAGGAGAGCCAGTTGCTGTCGCTGGCTGGTCTTTGCCAGGGAAGGCTGCCCCCCCTTCACTTCGGGCCCCCCAAAGCCTCCGATGCAGCAGGAAAAGAGCAGCTGGGGGGGGGGAACCAAAGGAGCAGCAGGCAGGGCGCCCCCCCCCCCCCCAGGACTGCCTTTCACCCTCTATGCTGCAGTGGGCTGAGAGAACTGCGGTTGGCAGGAGGGCCCAGGAAGATGCCAAGACAAAGCCAGGAACCCCCCCAGGAATCCTCCCCCCCCCGGGCTGCCCCTGTCTTTGCCCGAAGAACAGTTGGGGGGGGGGGGCTGGAAAAGACCTTTGAGAAGCCCCCAAACCTTGGCCACCTTCTCGGCGGGCGGAAGGGCCTTGGCAGAAACCCTTGGTGCACCTCCTCCCTTTGGCCACAGGGTGTCGCTGTTGCACACCCCATTCCCTTCCTCCCCCACCCGGGTCCAAGGCTCCCATGGGGGGGGGGGGGTGCCGAAGGCCCCCCCCCCCTCCCCCCCCCTCCCCTCCCCCCCAGAGTGACCCTCCTTTCTTTTGGCTTTCAGCTCAACCAGAGCTCTCCAAACTTGGCCACTGGTGGACTTCAACTCCCAGAATCCCCCAGCCAGCATAGGTAATTCTGGGAGTTGAAGTCCACCAGTCTTACAGTGGCCAAGTGTGGGGACCCCTGAGCTAAAGCAAAGTGCAAACTGAAAAATGAGGGCTGCAGGTTGAGGCTTCTCCTTTTCAGAACCGGCCAAACTCGGTTGTGGCCTCTCCAACCAATCAGCATAGAGGTGGAAGGGACCTTCGAGGTCTTCTAGTCCAGCCCCTGTACAATTTCAGACAGGTAGCTCTCCAGTCCCTTTGGAAACCCCCCCCCCCCCCCCCCCCCCCCCCCCCCGGGCCCCCCCCCCCAGCCCCCCCCCCCCCCCCCCCCCCCCAATCCTCCTTTCCTCTGGGCTGCCAGACTCAATCCCTGAAACCGCCTTTCCTCTGTTTCTGTCTCCAGGCCTTCAATCGTCCAGCCTGCCCTGCCCAGGCGCCTGCTGACTCATGAAGTGACCTGCTTTATGACCAGTCCTTGGGGTCATAAGTCGAGGAATACCCGCCCTCCTCCTGGAGGAGAGCCTGCCTGCCTTCCCTCGCCAGGTGCCGAGGCGGGCCCCTCCTCTCCTCCTCTGGCGGAGGGCCAGCCCAAGGCCAACGGGCTCTCAGGTTGTCCTCGACTTACAACAGGCTTCATTTAGCGACTGTTCATGGGCTCTGAAGAAAGCGACCAATGACCGCTGTTCACACTTTACAACCGCTGCAGCTTCCCGTGATCGAAATCCAGGCCCCTGGCACCTGACTCACCGTTACAACGGTTGCAGGCTCCTGGGGTTCTGCGATCCCCTTTTGGGAAGTTGATGGGGGGGGAGGAGCTGGAAGGTCGTAAAGTGAGGCAAAACTCCAACTTAACAACTGTCTCACTTAGCCATGGGAATTTAGCGCCCAACGGCGGTTGTAAGTCGAGGACTAGCTCTGCTGGGGGAGCGCAGAGCCTGGCCCAGGAGGGAGGGGGTCTCTCTCTCCCCCACCCACCGCGCAGAGAGCCTGCGCCATGCCCGATGCCCGTGGGGGGGGGGGAGCGCTGACCTGGCGTGAAGAGGGCGATGGCCTTCAGGCAGCTGAACTCGGCCGAGTCCACCTGCAGCCGGCTGAGCTTCTCCACCTGGTCCTGGAAGACGCGGATCTGGTCCATGAAGGAGACCACCCGGTCGGCGGACATGGGGGCGGCGTGGAAGCCGGCAGCAGCCAGCAGGGGCGCCATGTGGAGGGGCAGGGCTGACTGGGCGGCGTTGAGCACGAAGAGCTCGCTCCAGCTGAGCCGCAGCAGCGCCACCTGGTCCGAGACGGGCAGCTCCGGGAAGAAGGGGATGTTGCGCGCCCACTCCACCGTGCTGAAGAGCAGCCGGGCGGCCAGCTCACAGATGTTGTCGATGCCCATCACGCTGCCCCCCTGCTGGGCGTACTGGGAGCTGAAGCGGGCGCTGGGATAGGGCTCGGCCCGCAGCAGCTGCGAGATCAGCTCCGAGACCGGCTGCCCATTGTAGTAGTCCCCGCTCTGCACGGCGTTGGGGCTGGTGCTGGCGTGGCTGGGCGGGATCCGGCCCCTCTGGACGGCTGGCAGAGGGAGGGGGGGGAGGAAGAGGGTAGGTCAATGGGTGAGGCAGTGCCGGGACCTTCCCCACTCCCGGCAAGGCTGGGAAGGCGCCCTTTGCCCCCCCCCCTTGGCATGGGTGGGAGAGCCGGCCGAGGCTTGCCCGGGAAAGGTGCCAGGGCCCCAGGCCGCCTGCGCCTCTCCCCACCTCTGGCCTCCTTTCCCAGCTGTGACCTCTGCCCCAGCCGGGTCACGTGAGCCCCCTCCCCGCCCCAGCCCCGCAGGGGCCGTGCCCTCCCAGCAGGCCTGCTCAACCGGTCCTCCCCTGGCAGAGCCGGGCACTTCCGTCCCTTGGCCTCTGCTCAGCAGCTGGTCCTCAAAGGTACACTCCTCCTAAGCGAGGAGGCTCTGCGAGGAGGAGGAGGAGAAGTTCCCCCCCTCGGCTTTGGGATTCTCTTCTGCAACCTGGTGCCCCCCCCCCGACCCCCAGGTGGGAGGGCTGGGGGCAAACTTACGGGCCGCAGCCAGAGGACACTGTTGGGGGCCACACTGTCCCACCTGCTCCCCACCCTGAGCTGCAATCGCCCCATCCAGACCCCCATCCAGCCCCCCAAGAGGGGGTCCCTGCCCAGAAGGGGCGGGAAGGGAGGAGGGGGCAGCCTGCAGACACCCCCCCCTTTGCCATCACCATCATGCCGAATTTCAGACAGGGGGCGGCTGCCCCCCAGAGACCTGGCGGGGGGGTGGATTGCAGTGCAATCCGGGTGCGGTGGGGGGGGCACCGTGCTCTAGGCAGGAGCTTCTGGGCCCCTCCTGGCCAGGCGGGGGAGGGGGGGGCAGGTGTGTCCGGGCACGAGGCTGGCTGGGAACATCTCAGCCGGTCTGACTTCATTCCCGGAGGGCGGGGGGGGGG